CCAAATCAGTTACAATGTCCTTAAGCAAACAATCATCTGTTAAGAGTTCGTTCATCATTGGAATCGAAACTCCGAAATTAACCAAACTACGCAACTTTAAGGAATACATGAGGGAATTGGAAACTAAATATGGAAAAGATGGTGCTGTTTTGCTGCATTTGGAAGGACTGAGCAAGCCTAAAACTGTAACGCCTGCTGCCCATACTCGACTCTTCACTTAAGATGATTTGATGAAATGCCCCCTTGATATCCAAGGTAGTAAACATCTTGCAGCCACTTAATCCGTTTAAGATATCATCTATTAATGGAATCGGAAAATTTTGCATTTCAATTACCTCATTCAATTTTTTATAATCAACAACCAATCTATGGTCAATTACATCTCCTTCTTCGTCTTTTTTGTCAATCAAAAGTACTGGTGAATTATAAGGCGATTGACATTTTTCAATAATACCTTGTCTCTCATAGTCTTCAACTATAGCTTTTAATGGAGCTTTATGCGCATACGGTATTTTATATTGACGAACATTCACTATTTTTGCATTGGGAATTAATTGTATTTTATGTTCAATTACCGTAGTGCAGCCCAACATATCCCCCTTTAAATAGAATTGATAAGGGAATTCATAACACAATTTCGTAACATAATCTATTCCATCTTGAGAATTATTAGACAAATTCAGTTTATTTAGAATTATTTCGGCTCTAAAGTCTTCGACTTCAGTACTATTATACAATTTGACATCACGTATGTCACCAGATTCACCAAACTTTGCTTTTACTTCAGCGATATATGCAGGACTTTTGTTCAGTCTCACAAATTCGCACTTATCGTACCACAATACATGTTGTTCCCATGGATCATCATCAATGACCCAATCGCATAAACCACCACCACAACAAAAACATACGACACGATCATTCTTCCAAATATAGAAGAAACCCGCGTCGCTCATCCGTTCCGGAGTTATAAATGCATCCTTCGGCCATTTGTTTTCAAATGAGCGAAGACGAACTCTGTGTGTGGCAAATTCTGGAAAATCTGGATATTTGACATGTGGTGTTTCAACAACAACTACCGTTTTTCGGTCAGTCGCTTTTTGTTTGATGTTGATTGTATCAATACTATGCTCTAACTCATCTTGCTTTGAAAGAGGAGTATAAATGTGTTTAGTACCACCTCGTTTGTTATTTTTAATATTATTTTCAATTATTTTATTCGATTGCATCTTCAACTCTTTTCGTTTGTCAAACTCATTTTCATAATAATTAACTGCTTCAAAATACTCTTCATACATTCCCAAGTCTTCATTTTCCAATTGTATATTATTTATATCATTTTCTTCTCGATTATTCCATTCATTTAACATAATACTTTCATTATTTGACATTGTAATTTCCTTTTTTGACAATAAATTTCCTTCATTTGACAATGTTTTCTCTTTGTTAGACATAATATTTTCGTTAGACACTTTCTCTTCAATTTTGGTTTCATCAATTAATATCTTCTTTTTTCTCGTTTTGTTAATTTTTCCATTCGATAATTCATCTTTTCTTGCTTTTTTTGCTTTCCATTTTAATTTTTTCTTCGATTTTTTCTCATTGGTCGAATCATTAATTCTATTTGACCATACCGTGACATTTTTCAATTTCAAATTATTTATATCTTCAATTAATTCAATGATTTCCTTATTCTTGCTTGATTCCGTCTCATCTACTTTTCGGATCGAATCTACATTGATTTTGATACATAGATCTGTCAAATCTATAACCGTTTTCCATGGAGCTAAGAATGAAAATCCAAGAAATCCGTCGGCTTTTTCTGCATATTTTCTATCAATCAAGTGAAACGTAGTTCCTAACATTCGCCCCTTGAAATCCAATATGCCGTGTACTAAACCTTTGGTTTTTATGGATATATCTCTTCCCACTAGTCCATACAAATTAACAATGTAGTCTTGTCGTACTATGTTTTTTGAGACCATATCATCTGCAAGTAAAGAAACTGCCGCTCCTGTGTCTAACATTAAAACCAATGACCTGTCAGATAGATTTGATTTTATGCGAATAAATGGTGCTCCATCTTCAAAATAAATTTCATGTTCAATTATCGTTTTTTCATTTTCTTCTTTTTGTTTATTTTCTTGTGTATCTTCTGTGACTTGGAGTATTTCTTCACTGTTCTTATTTAATTTAAAATCTATCGATATATTTTTATTGGATGGAATAAGTTGGTCGCCATATTCCATCCTTATTAGTTTTCCTTCTTCGATTCAACAATATTAATCGCTTGTGCGTCGCTTTTCGTAACAACATTGTTCGAAAATTGATTCGCGCGATTAGGAAAATCTTGCCGTTGATTCTGACCTTGTCTAAATCTGTTCTGGTCAGATTGTCCGCTTTGATCATTATTGCGATTACGATTATTATTTACATTACTTGTGTCAAATCTGTTAAAGTTTCCATTATTGCCATTTCTATTCCAGTTTCCATTCCAATTTCCATTATTTCCACTGTTCCAATTTCTATTCCAATTGCCATTATTTCCATTGTTATTGCGATTAAAATTCCAATTACGATTATTATTTGACCAATTGCCATTATTATTCCAATTATTTCTTTGGAAATTACCAAAGTTACGCCTATTGTTACCAAAATTGTTGTCAAATCTGCGGAAATTCTGATTATTAAAGCCGTTAAATCGATCAAACCTATTGAAGTTCCGTCGAACTGGACTACCCATAAAACGCAACGCTGAAATTATTTTATTCAAATCGTTATTGCGCGCATTCTTGCTTCTGCAATCCTGCTCTCGGTGTCCGTTAATACGGCAGAATCCACAATACAATTCATTGCGAGAAATGTTATTCATAACATCATTTTCCGTTTCAATCGCGTAAGAAATTGCATCTTCTAATGTGTTTGCTCCACGAGTTATCAAACGATCTCTCAATCTGATATTGGAGACACCCTTAGCAAACGATTTGCGAGCCATTCGATTGTGCTCGGCTTTTTGTTCTTCAGTTAAATGGCTATATACTGAATTTTTGTCTAACAACAGTTTTCTAGCCCTTTCAGCATATTTTGTCAAACTCTCGTCTTTTTCTTGACGCAAATTTTCGAGTTGACTTGTCAAAATGTCTTTATTTGACAAATATGCGAAATTTGATCGTAATGCTCCTTTGATTGTTCTCCAATTCAGATTCTCAAGCTGAGTAACAACATTTTTAGCTTCGCCGCGCAATCTTAACATCATTTGTTCAAAAAACTCTCGTTCTTCTAAATCATTTTCGACCGAACAGAACAGAGTTTCACAAGTGTCAACAAAATCAGTTAAACTTTGGAAAGATTCACCATTAAATTTAGGAATGTCATATAGTCGTTTCAAGAATGATTTACGAGGTTGAGTGTTACCTCTCATTGAATAATCCATATAATTTTGAGGCATGTTCGAATTTAATTGTCTAAAACTCGGATGTACATTAGACATATTGGAATTATCAAAGTTTCCAGTATTTAAATTTCCGTGTTGATAAGAATTTGGAAAATAACCTTCATTTTGGATCAATTCTTGGTCTCGTGGTTGAGATGAAAATGTAACATTGCGAGGATTCGCAAAAGAAACTTTCCGCTCGTTAAGATAATTTTGATTTAAAATGCTCCTTTCTGGAACATCATTGAAATTCGTCAAAACATTACTTTGTTCAATTGGCTCATCCTCATTCGGATAAAAGGTAGTTCTCAGTCTTCTATTAGCCATATTTCTTAAATCCAAAGCACGCCTAGGTGTGGCGACGTATGACGAAAATCGTCGAGCATCATCTTCTTCTTCAACTTCCTCGATTCTTGACAAAATCGGATTAGCAATGTTCGCGTTTGCTAAATTAGAGATTTTTGGAATGGCTCCCTTCGAAACCGAAGATCCAATATTTCCGAACAAATTATTTTTATCGTTACTAGACGCTAAATTTGACATTATATCGTCATCATTCTTCCTTTTTTTGGATGCCATTTTACTCTGATCATCCGGATAAATTGTAGAAATATCTTGGAAGAGTGTTGTATTATTTTGATTTGCCTGAATATTTTCAAGAAATAACGCTTTTTCCCGTTTTTCCCTTTCGAGTCTCTCATTTCTTTCTTCAACCGACTCTGAAGGATTAAGAGGAAATTGCAAATCTTCTGGAGCTAGTTTTTTAGTTCCAGTTGACGATAAACCTGTAGCCATGATTGGTACAGTACTAGCTTGTGAAACGTCTAAACTAAGAGCTTCTGCTGTTGCAGTTACTGGTGTCGTAGCAGTTTCAGTAGTAAAAGTACCTGGCTCTGTTGCGTTTGATGTTTCCAATAAATCTGAATCTTTACCTGGAATAATCGTTTCCTTTGGAGAATGACCCCCAAAGTTCATTTTATCTTTAGCCTCAAAAAATAGTTCAGATTCAATGGGTTTCAATTGTAAAAGTTCTTCGTTGATCTGAGCAAGTCTGTTGTCAATTTTAATTTTTTCTTCAATATCGAAAGTACTATCGGATAATTTTCCGATTGTCAAGGAAACCAATTTATCGTTTAATTTTCTTCTTTCTATCAATAATTCACTATCAAGTTTTTCACCTTTTGTCTCTTTTCGTCTAACTCTTTGATCGTTTATGTCCCTACTAATGGCTTTTACTTTTTCCCTCAAATTATTTATTTCAAATTGTATATTTCTACGCGGAGTATCAGTCTCGTTTAAAAGAGATTCCTCTAACTTTTTAATTTTCTTCTCAATTTTCTGTTTTTCGGAATTTAATTCGTATATCGTTTTCGGTCTATCCTTTAATTTTGACATTTGATCTACACAAAATTACTTAAAATCGAGACCCTATTAGGCACATTTATTTGAGCAAATGAACAATTCTGAGCAGCACACATGAAAAATACTTTGCCGTTGTATTGAAAAATACGAAAAAATCGTTAAAATGTTTTTCACACTGTGCCGAAAAGTCAGAAAAAACACGAAAAATACGGAAAAAATTCGTTAAATCGTTCATCTATGGTCATAAAAACACAAAAAATCGTCGAAAATGTTTTCAAAAATCCGAAAAAATTCACTAAATCATTCGTTTAGTACGAAAAAAACACAAAAAAATGTCTTTTAATGCTGTCCAAAGTCGTCACTCTTGTTGGGAAATTCACTCGCTTTAATGTGTAAAAATGCTTAAAATCTGAAATTTATTCACTTTATTTGTCGATGTAGTCACTTTTTTCTCGAAAATCGTCTAAGTTCTCATTAATTTATTCTGGTTGAAAAAATTTCAAATATTTTAAGCAAAATTGGCTAAGTTCGAAAAACCAATTTATTTTCATCGAAATTGTTCCAAGTGTTCAATGTCATATTTTTTTTTCAATCAAAAATATTCTAAGTCCGAAAAAGTGGATTTATTTTCAAAAAACTGTACTAAGTCTGAAAAAACACATTTATTTTCACGAAGAATAATATTTTTTCTGATGAAAAAATCGTCTAAGTTCTCAAAATATTATTTATTTTCGTCGAAAATATTCTAAGTTCTCAAATTGTTATTTTTTCTCGATGAAATTTTTCTAAGTCCTCAGAAAAATAATTATTTTTGTCGAAAAATATTCTAAGTTCTTTTTTCCGAATATTTTCTCGATCAAATTTTTCTAAGTCCACGAAAAACACAATTTTTCACTCAATTTTTTGTCTAAGTTCTCGAAAATCACACTTTTTTAATCAGAATTTTTCTAAGTTCTCAGAAAAATCTATTTATTTTTAATTCGCAGCGCCAATGTAGAGGGGCGGACATTTGGACAACTAAAATATTTATTAAAACACTTAAAATTTTCACTTTTCAACACTTTATTATTTTTGTTCCACAATTAAGACAAGAAAAACTTCCGAAAACCCTAACGGTCTTCTCTGCTTATATATTATCCGAACTGTTCCTTTCGGAAACACTTTCTTGTGCTCATTTGCATAAATCTATTGGAGTTGCCTAACATCATGCCAGAACAAAACCGAAACATGTTCGCTCATGTTTGATCCGCTTGAGCGACCCCACGTGTACTGCTGGCCCCCTAATGCATTGTTCTTGCATGCATTGGTCATGGCTGTAGCTGGAAGAACCTCTACTCGAGTTTCGCTTGGATGCACTCACGTGATAAAACCAAAACAAAGTCATAAGCTCTGAGGTCCCGCTTATTGAACACAGATGTCACTCAAACGAATATGAAAAGCTCTGAATATGCTTAACCGTACGCCTACACGTATAGAACGCAAACGACTCAAAAGTACGGTTGTCTGAATGAGCACTCAATTAGTTCAGAATACAAAGCAGCTCTTATGTACTAAATTAAATATTAATACTGTTAAACGGTGAACGTAATACCGAACCGTTTACAATTGGATAGCAATCCAATTGTTTCTGCTCTAGTCGATGCTTCATTCGAATTTCCATTTTTTCGATTCCTCCATCGCTCTTTAATCAAACTTATTGCTTTAAACACATAAGCTGTAATCCGCACAATTTTTGCTAATTTGCTGAATCGCTCAATCAAAGAAATGTTGTTTATAGACATCACTTGTGGTGGTCGGATGGTTATGATGTTTGTAACCTTTGGACGATATTCGCTTTGAATCATCTCCTGCTCTTCGGATGTGAAATTGGGTTGAAAACGTTCTCGGTTCTCTCTGCACTGAAAAATGAATTGTGGACCGTGCCACCATAAATTGCAATTCACTAGCTCACTTGCTAACATCCCTCTTGAGGCTATGTCAGCCGGACTTTGTTTTGTCGGCACATAAAACCATTGCTCTTTGGCTGTAATGTTTTGAATTGTTTGCACTCGTGTGGCCACGAAAATTTTCAATTTTGATGGACAATTTCGTATCCAACTCAAGTCAATCGTTGAATCTGAGTATAACTCATATGGAACGTATTCCAATTCGCACTTTTTCCGCACAACATTGAGTAATTTTGCTAGTAATTCCGCTGCACATAATTCCAAACGTGGTATTGTCAACTCTTTGACAGGAGCGACTTTTGTTTTTGCTGTTAACAAATTGCACCAAACATTTGTTCCACTTGAACATCGCACATAAATTTCCGCTCCATAACCGATTTTTGATGCATCACAAAATCCGATCAATTCGATCTCGCGCCCTCTTGTTGTTTGTATCCATCGAATAATACGAATGTCGTTGATTGCTGATAACGTCGCGCAAAATTCGAGCCAATCCTCACGCAGGAAGCTCTTGGTTTCATTTCCCTGCTCATCTTTCAATTTATCCGGTAATGGTTCATCCCATTTCAAATTGAGTTTCCACGATCGTTGAAGGAAGGCTTTTCCTTTAATCATAATCGGCGCTAAATATCCAATTGGATCGAAAATTCTTGCTACCGCACTTGAGACTGTACGTTTCGTGACGGTTTTGTTGAGTTCATGCTGCACTTTTGTTGAAAACATAAAACAATCACTGTTTGGTTGCCATTTTAAACCCAAAACTGATGTCGGATCATCGTTGAGTTCAAGCGGTTGATTATCAGTATTGTAGTCTTTGTTGATCAGCTCAAGTAATTTCGGAGAGTTCGTTTTCCATTTGCTAAGGTCGAATTTTCCTTTAGCCATCAATTGTTTTAATTCGTCGTACAATTTTATCACTGCTTGCAATGAATCAGCTCCAGACATGAAGTCATCCATATATCGTTCGCTCTTAGCCGCTCTTGAAGCCGAAGGGAATTCATTTTCATAAATTCTTGCTAATTCCAGCACGGTGTAAATAGCTAAAAATGGGCTTGATTTCATACCAAACAACACAGTTTTCCACACATATTCTTGCAAAGGATCCTGTTTGTTGAAACGCCAGAAGATTTTTTGATATTTCAAATCTTCATCGTTCATTTGTATTTGCAAAAACATCTGTTTCACGTCTGCCGATAACACGAATTGATGAAATCGGAAACGCATAATCACATGCGCCAACTTCTCTTGCAAGTTAGGACCAGCTAACTGAACGTCGTTGATGCTTTTTCCGTTGGTGGTAGCACAGCTACCGTCTTTAACGATTCGAAAACGTGTCGTTATTGGATGATGTGGAATGTAGTAGCCCGATGCATGCCGCTCTTCAGCTGTGGCTAATCGCATATGACCTAATTCAATTGCTTCATGCATGGATATGTTGTACTTTTGACGTAATTCTTGATTTCGCTCTAATCTCCGCTCTAATTGATAAAATCGTTGAAGTGCTATTTCTCTTGATTCCCCGAGATCAACCTTATCATCAATGAATGGCAATCGCACAATAAACTGCCCGTTTTCCGCTCTAACTGTGTTTTTATTGTAATGATCGATCGCACGTTGTTCGCTTTCCGACAAAATTTGTTCCACTGATGGTATTTCTTCGTTTTCCCAAAACTTTTGAAGCAATTCATCCAAACGATGAGATTCTTCGCCGCTCATGACCGCTCGCCCAATGCATAACACAGATGCAGTAAATCGAGGTGTTGAATTAATTGCTCCGAAAATTGCATAACCAAATTTCGTAAGTTGCGCGCATAAACCAGTGCTACTCCGCAGCACTCTGTCCATAATGATTTCCGCCCAAGTATCGATGCCCAATAAAATGTCAGCAAATCCAGCTTTATTGAAGTTTGGATCGGCTTTGATGATGCTTTGAAATTCGGGAATGTCCGCACTACATTCAATACGCTGCGCTACAGGCAATTTTTTCAGCACAACACATGTTTTATATAAACAATTCTCATCGCTCTTTTCATACCATGGACTAATTTTAATCAATGCTATGTGACTTGCAACTTCGATTCCAGTTACACCTTCAATTTGTATCGAAAATTTCTTTTTTGGTAGGTTTGCTACACAAACGGTTCGTTTCGTTATCAAATTCACTTCAGATCCCATATCAAATAATACTCGCGCAAAAATTAACGTTCCTGTGTTTGAATGCAGCTTAAAAAATCCAGTAGATAACACAGGGGATCTATGGTGCTGCTCTATTGAAAATTTTGACCGCTCTGATTACTGCTCATGTGATAATTTTGCGATGATGTTCCGACGTTTGGATTTGGTTGTGTGTAGTGAACTACATTTCCTGGCGGTTGATACGCTACCGTTGCACTTCGTTGCTGATATGTGGCACCGTTTTGCTGCTCATCTGCTCTTGGTGGTTGCCAATTGTTGGCCATAATAGCATTTGTCGATGCTATCGGTGTGTAGCACAAAAGTGTGTTATGATTGGCTCCTTTGTTGCATCTTTTACAAGGACCAGATTTACAGCTCAAAGAACCAGCACGATGGTTTGTTGAAAAACAGTTTGAACATAAATTCAATGCACGCACACGTTTTACCCGCTCTTGGACACTCAATGCTTGGAAACGCGCACAACGATACATTGGGTGTGGCTGTTGACAGTTGTTGCGTGAAACTCCTTTCGATGAATCATCTTTTGCTTGCTGCGCGAACTTTTGCTTTGGTTTTGTACCTGTGTATCGGCCTGAGTTGCTTGCTTGATTTTGCGAGTTTTGGTTCGAATTGTGCTGCCCTTCATTACTCGCACTTGTTGACGGCTCTTGATTCAATGCGCTACGTGCGCGTTTTGCCAAAAAACTTATCACCTCCTCCAGCTCTGGCATTTCTTGGTGATCTCTTTTGTCTTCCCATGCTTGCAGTGTACGTGGTGGCATACGAGTTATCAAAACATGCACAATTATTTGGTCCCAGTGTTCATTTTTATACTTTGAACCCACTTTTCAGAGCTTGAATGAGCCCGGATGGGGTTGTCATAGTAGACTTTTTTGTAGCCCCATCGAATATCTATCCAACCATGTATATAGTTTTGAAAGTTTGTACCACACTTTTCTAGTGTAAAAATGTCAAAAGGTGCCATTTTCCATTTTTTTTCAATATTTGGGTCACCCTAACTTTTCATCAGGTGGGGACTAGGGGTTTCACGCAACTTAAAATTCATCTAAAATTTCAATATTTCTCTCTTTTCTCTCACATTCTCTGGGATTCACCAAAATCCGTATTATTTCGAAATATTTCAACATTCGCCTTGAAAATTATGTTCTGGAAGTGGGTTTTGGTGGATCCTCAGGATCGTTCAAAACTGCTCCCGGTTCTGGAAGTGGGTTTTGGTGGATCTTCAGGATGGATCAGATTGGGTTTGACAATGCCCTGGTCCATCCTGAGGATCCACTTCCAGAACCAGGAGCGGTTTTGAACAATCCTGAGGATCCACCAAAACCCACTTCCAGAATTTTTAGATTCAAAAAATTCTAAAAAATTCGAGTTTATGAATAAAAAGAAGCAATATCTATAGTTTACACATAAAATGGTTTTATTTCCAGCTATCTAGTAAAATCTTCGGCCTTCAAGTTTGGGTGAAACCCCTAGGGTGGGGAAGGTCACCCAAATTTTTTGGCTTTGCGAGTTTTTGGCCATAAAAAGTTTATACACCAAGTTTGAGCGAAATCGGAGAGATCATCTGCAACTTTTGTTACACTTGGTGTGGAATCGTCGTGTATCTAAGAAAAACACTGTTCTCATGGCAAGTACATGAAATCGAATTTTTTTTTCTCGTATTAATGACTCCTGTTCGGAAAAGTGAATAACTGTTTTACAATTGAGTCATGAAGTGAGTCACAATACGAGTCATAATCGAAGTCATTCATTTGTCCAAAGTGAGTCAAACTTGATGTGACTGGCTCTTTATGAGTCACAAAAGGAACGAATTAGATTCTGACTCCATTTCAGAGGCAATGAGTCAGTCGAGTCAAAGAATCAGAACTGATTTGACTCATTGAATGCGTGAGTGTGTTGGAAAGTCATGAAAAATCTACATACAGTATTGGTGCGCAAAACAGAAAGTCACGGTAAGACGGTGCAAAATCTATTAACAAATTTCTGGTAATATCTTTTTTTTTAAATTCAGATTAAATACGAAAAAATAAAACTAAAAAAATGATTTAGTTTGACGGCGAAAAGAAACCATTTTGCACCGTTTTACCCACTAGTCTCTCTAGACAGAAAAAGTAGAATGAAAAATGAAAGAAATGTAACATTTCTTATCTCCGTTTCTTTTCATTTTTATTTTTATTTTTTACATTTTTCCGAATTTTACGCTGCAATCTTCATTACATTTTGAAAAGTGGAAAAAATTAATTGGTCCATTTATTTTCAAAGTGATTTATCTTTTTGTTGATCCAAATTGACACTATGCTTTTTTTCTTCTTCTGAGTAAAGTTACTTTTCATTATTTTTCGTCTTCTTGGATATTTACCGCAAGTAACCGTATCGTGGCTCTCTTGGTCGAATGGGCTTTGGTTCACTGAAGAAGTTTCGTAGAATTAGCACCTGTGATAAACTTATAGCTATGATTAGGATTGTTTGACTCATCGACCACCAAAGGACACGTTCATTCAATTCTTCGGCAAATCGGCGTCCATGAGCTTCTTGCTATGTATTTAAAAAAAATCAAAATTGCATCAATAGATTAATTTACATATTGATGGAAAAAATTTTATATACCAAACGATAGTGTGTCTGCCCTAAAATAATATCACTTAATGTATCATGCATTTCATCAGATGTAGCTTCCATGAATGTCATCACAGTATCATGTTCTTCTGATCCCTTGAATAGTGGATTCTCATCTCCGGCTACAAATGACATGAATATTGATTTATGCGTGAAAGTTGAAAACTGATTGCTAAAGCAGATCACATGCTCTCCAGGATGCTGAAAAAAACGAAAAATATATTTGTGTGGGATTTTGATCGATAAAAAATTGCTCATAGCAAATTTAGGTGACTGAACTTCATTAGTCTGAAAAATTTAATAGAAAATTAGAGCAAATAATGACAACAGATGTTTCAGAGTATGGCTCGCATTCCACTTTCTTGGATTCAGAAAAAACAGACTTCACATACTAGCGATACATGTAGAGTATGACAAAGGGTCCAATACTTACTGTTACATTAAATTTAAACGTATCATACTCTTTTCGTAGTTCTTTGTAAATATGTCTTTGGTTTGGGCCTTCTATTATAACATCCACATCGAGTTGACCACCACTCACGACCTAAAAACAACCAAATTATCGCTTTAATTTTTTTTAAATATTTTAATAAGCTGTAAAATCAAAATCAACTAACTTGGAACTCAAAAACGCAAGTAATATTGGTAGTAGTAATTAATTCGTGAAAACATTCCTCATCATTATCTGGTAAGTCAAACGTAAACTCGGTACCAAACACAAGAGTGGGTATTAAGAAAAAAATAAACTTGCAATAATTCTTCATTTGAATTCAAATATTAACGGACGATCTATCGAAGAATATATATCTAATGTATTGTTGAGACTATTGGATGTGAGACAGTTTTGATGGTGATGTTACTGATAATAAATGTCAAATGAAAGCAAAAGCTCCAAATATAGTACTTATCAAACGTGGCGAACACAAAAACATAAATAGGTACACGGCTGTAAGATACAGGTGTACAAATAGAGTTGTGTTCATTTGTTCGTGTGTAATGCTTCCAACGTTCATCTTTAAATATAAATTCTAAAATTCATCGGATTGTAGCCCATAATATTTGTTAACACTATATATGTATAAGTACACATCAACGAAAAAATAGCATAATCAATGAAATTCGAGTCACAAGTCACTCATGTAAGATTCTAATCACACGAGAATAACTCGAATCATATGCTGTTACCATGCATGTGTGATGCCGTACGATTCCATTTCATTTAATCGAAACAAAAATAGGAAGAAAATTTGGAGAAACACAATTTTGAGTCAGTCGATCAGTGAACGTTGGCGGAAGCAGTCGCTTGGGCTATAATTGTAACACATATATATTTATACATATGATCTCGAGCATAGAAAAATAATATTCCAAAGTCAAGTATTTTTCCATCGTCTTCACATATTTTTTGTTTCTAGTGATTCTAAGTGTAAGTATCGCATGATTTTCTCATGTTTTTTTTTCTTTTGTCCGTGAAATCGATAAAAAATAAAATGTTGCTAAGCGAAGAACCAGCAAACTAATTGTTTAAAAACGATAAATCAAAACATCAGCATAAAGTCATCTTATCGGTTATATAAAGACGATTGTTAAATCTTATCACTTTCACGATTATGCAAGTAAACTCTCCTTTTGCCCTTCATGTGCATGGATCAAGGGCAATTATTTAATTTTTCATTTGAACATTCATCAATCAGTTCTTGCTCTGGATAAATGACAAATTTATTAGTTTTAAAGTGAATTCCAATTGATTTTCTCTAGTCCACTCAAATTTTCCTACATTTACATTTGCTATTGGGTAACAGGATGATGATATACCCATCAATAGGCGAAAAACTATGCAGCCTACTCACTATTTTGTCATGAATTAGTCATATGGTCAGTATGGTCTGTTTGGAATAAACTTGTACTTGTGTAGCACAACAATATTCGTTATGGTTTTTACGGCTTTTTTGTAAAAAAAAACAATAAAATGTTATCATTGCCGCATAGTATAAAAGGAAGGCGGCTAAAAAATAAATACCATGTGCTATACGCTGCTCACAAAACACATATGCACACATCGTTGAATAGATGGATAAAGAGAGAGGAGAAATTAAACTGCTGAGTGTATTATACATATATTTTTACTGTTCTTCATACTCTACGCGTTTCTTTGCTATGTGTATGTGTTCGTCCGACAAAGGCACGTGCACAGTGTATGTCTCTTTTTATCTTACATTCTCGTGAAACTGGTGGTTAGGAGTAAGTGGTTTTGCTTGTGTTTGCACAAAATAGCATATATCGAATGTAAAAAGTCTTCACCGTTCACGAACTACTACACGCATAACTCCATACGTCACTTCGTTTGGAATCGAAC